AACCTTACTAAGTATACACCATACTAATTATATCAATATGCACCGTACCATCCTTTTGCACTATATTTACCCTTTTAGAGAGATAAGGCGAGAGGGGAGTGACCATTTCCTTTGACAGAAAGAGAGAGAGAGATGGCATAGGAGAAAGAAATGCAGAGGGAGAGAGAGAGGTGGATGCAGAGAAAGAAATAGAGAGAGAGAAGGGGTGTGGGGTAACCACGGATCTCTCAAAGAAACACATAAAGAGCAAATAGGGTGAACTTCTTCTGAATCAGAATGGTGTTTTTTAAAGTAGATGGTGAACTTCTTATGAAGAAAATCAGATGGGAATCGTGCTGTATGGGTTGAATCTGATGGGTTGAATCAAGTTTAGGAAAAGCCCTTTGTATGTTTTTCCTTAGTTTATTTTTACTAATATGTTCTTTGAGCTATGTTAATTTGGGGATTTTTGAGTTATGTTAAAATTGGGGACTTTTGATGTGATCTGGAAGTTCTCTATCAGATTGTTCCTCTATTTTTTCTAATTTCTTTGAAATGTTGTTAAATTTAGGAATTTTTAAGCTAATGTTAAATCTATACTTCAATATCTCTTTCTCTAAAGCTTGCACTATAAACAATGGTTATCTTTTTCCTCTCTCTCTCTCTATCTAGCGATCTCCATACCCATCAAGCATTTATGATGTAGTTCAATTTGGGGATTTTTTAAACTTATTTATCTTTGTTTTTTCGTAAGTTCTTTGAGATGATTATCTTTCTCTCTGTGTACCCATCGATGAGATGTTCTCTATCACATGGTTCTCTCTGTGTGTACCATGGAGGATTATTAATAGAAACATTATTTTAAACGACTTGTTATAAAAATTAAAAAATCGCATATTAAACTTCTTCATAAAAAAACGTGATTTTTTTACGCTATTTTGAAAAATACGCAGTTTAAAATAGTTTTAAAAAAAACTCCGATTTTTTCAAAAATCACGTTTAAACGCCGATTTGCTAACTATGGTATAGAGTTAACAACCCCTCAAAATACAAATGTTCAAGCTAAAAGGGGTTGTTATGGGTGTATTTATCAAAATAATCATTACTTTTTTATTAAACAATTATTTAAATAGATAAGTTTAGCATTACGCATTAGCAAATTTGAAATTTCACAAAAGTACAATGGCATTTTGGAAGTTAGTGTCTTAAAACTTTATTTGTAAAGTGTCTTTGTGTTTCAGTTAAAATTTCAATTTTACCTCTTATAGATATAATAAAAATACTTTTTATTTTATAGTGATATTTATAAATTTACCCCAAAAAAATAACTTTTTTTAAAAAATAAACAACAAAATTAATAAATGCACCGTTCACCACTCTCTTTATCGTGAACCTTTATAATTTGAAGGGTTGTGAGGTTTAGAATATCTCTTTATTTAAAAGACGAACTTTATTAACATAAAAAATTACAAAGTGACTTTATTAAAATAAGAAATTACAAAGTTGACACAAAAATAATAGAGCACAATTATTGCTCTCTCTATCTCTATCGCTCCGCGGTGCATGTCAACGTAAGCTTCTGTTGCATGTAGAAATGTTTGAAAAAAAACCCCTTTTACAGGCTTTGATGTAGGCGTTTCGAATCATTCCATTATTTAATAGGAAATGTGATAAATTCGAAATAATTTAAAAATCCAGCTATATCTCACATTAAGTGTGACTTTCATTTATAAAGCTTGGGTGGCCAAATTATTGGAGGAGAGTATTCTCACCAGTGTTTTAACTAACAAAATAAAATAAATAAAAATCGTTTGGATACCTGAAAACTCTGAAGCGAGGAAAGTCGACGAAACGGAAAACTTGGAAACCACGAAAATGAAGGAAGAAAAGAGACGCTTTTACTTTTGTGCATCGAGAAAGAGGGCGAGAATGCTTCGTCATTTCCTTTAACAAGACGATGACTATTTCAACATATTCATTCCTTCCAATTCTAGTAACATCGTAACAGAATCCAATCAAACAAATGTCAAAGCTATTCATTTTTTTCTTTCAATTTTCTATAATTAACTTTTTAATGTTAATGAACAAGCTATGTTCTACTTGCATCATAACTTGCTCTTCCTTCCCTCACAAGAAATTTCTTTGTTTTTTCCAACAAAAAAGAGAAAGAACAAAGCTATGTTCGATTCACGTCGGGTTCAATATCCCGATCAAATTCCTCATTTAATTTTTTTAGAAAAGGGGTTGGGTCGTGGAGCACCTCCATACATACTTACCACATTGTAGTTTTCAATTATGTTGACATCACCCATTAACACCTTCAAAAAAAGATAACTCCTTAATCTATAAGAGTAAAGACATGTCTTCCCCACTGAACTATAAATAAATAAAATTAAAAAAAATCAAATAAGCCAAGTTATCTAAATTTTTTTTTCAATTTCTATTATTAACTTTTTAATGTTAATGAACCAAACCATCCAATATTTTCCTAGTGAAGGATAGAGAGGGAGAGATATATGAAGAGTAGGGCTATTGAGGGACCCGGGGTCGAGCGGATTCTTCCCAAGGTAATGTCTTACTGGTTTTTTGGGTGCGACCTCAAATTTGGCCGGGACGAACCTAGGGTGGACCTACCTTATATGGTTTCTGGCTGAGCTAAGACCGGGTCGGAGAGGCCCTAAACGGCCCTCAGAGAGAGTCAGTCCTGCATAAGGGTTGGCTAATTGAAAAGAGTAGAGAGAAATATATGAGAAAGAGACTCATTTGCGATTGCAACCTTCTTTATCAAGAATCACGAATTTCCCATTGGACTAGCCGTTTTCACTGGGTTATCCAGACTATTCTTAGTTGGCATAGGACCCAATCACAAGATTGAAAAGGGAGGGGGCCCAATGAACTTTATGTTCATACATATAGACAAACCAGTTACTTTTGGTTTAAGGAAGTCACAAAGGCTCTTGTCCATCGAATTTTCAATTAAGTGGTGTAAGAATGTACTCAAAGTTCAAAAATAAATTTATCAATTTTTATAACACTCTTTTAAGTCATCCAATTTGACATCTAATGGCTAGGTATAATTGTGACCTTCTTGTAACAAAAATATATGTTCTTTTTTTCTTTTTCTTTTGAGTAATTCAGTGGGGATGACGAGCCCTTACCCATTTTTTGAATCATTAGTAGTTTTTTAATGTGTTAGAGAAATAGAAGCCTAAACCTTAATTGGGGCACAAGTGGTACTATCACCACAACCCCAACCCCATTCTCAAGATAGATGCTATTATATTTCACCATTGTACAATTGCAAATTCCCTACTACCATTTTTTAAGGATGAAAAAACTTTAGAAAAATTTATAGAAAAATTCTCTTTTATTTTCAAAATTTAAAGATAGTCTCATATAATTTATATTTTACACTGAAGTCTCACTTCTTGAGCACGTAGAGTGTATTTTAATTTTATCTCTATTTATATACATCCGATTAAGCTCAAATTTGATAAGTTCATATTTCTCATCACATACACCTATAAAAATATTAAAATAATTTAAAAACTAATAACAATAAAATACCCTATAGCATTAAAGGGTGGTAATTTTTAATTTAAATTATTTTAAATTTTGTAAGTGTGGAATGATGAGAAGCACGATCATACCAAATTTGAGCTTAATCAAATATATAGAAAAATATATCAAATTAAAATATATTTTATTTTATAAAGAATTGGGACTTGGCTATAAAATATAAAATATATGAAACTATTCTTTTAAGGACACAGTTTCTATGAGTCCATGTAGAAATGAATTGGCTTTTAAAAATCTATTTTGAAATAGATTTTCGGACCCAATTTTTAAGGACATATGATCTCTAAAATGGAGATCATGAATATTAAAAAAAAGAAAAAAATTAAGAAATAAAAATCATGACTTTATTAAAAAAACATTTGAGCCGATAGTTTACATTGGTTTTAGATGGACTACCTATTTGCATCCATATGCTTTATACATTGGGACCATATATTGTATAAGCTCACATGAAACAATTTTCATTTTTTTTTTTAACTTAAAAATAAAACAAAATTATACTATAAAATTTCCAGATTTTTAATTCTCAATATTAAAAAAAATCAACTATTGAAAAATAAAAGGTTTAACTTATTTTTAGCAATCCAATATGACGAGAACCAAAATTGGGCCTTGTTACTTCAAATTTCGAAGTTAGGTGTTCTCTGACTTAGGGGTGGCAACAGGTCGGGTAGTGTTTGGATTCAACCGGAGCTGGACCCAAACCCAAAAATAGACCCGATAGGACTTCAAGATATTGAAGTAGGACCCAAAAATGTATCGTGGGACCCAGACTGGATCAAACTTTACCTAAAAATTAAAATATCTATATATTTAAATATATTTCGTAAATTAAAATCTCAAAATATAACATACACAAATAACGTTCATGTCCAAGATTTAAACCCAGAACGGACCCGCCGGATACAATATTTCCCCATATCCAAAACGACCGATATTTTGGGAGTAAATCCGGAAAAGATAAAATGGTGGGCCGCCCTATCTCAGGGCATATGCTCCTTTTTTGGGTAATCAGGGCCTTTGCTCTTCATATAATAAAAACAAACAAGCAGCTCATTCACCGTACGATAAGCCATCCTAAGGAAAACAAATGATCAGATGAACTGCCCACATTATCCTTTTAAAGGTGACAGAGGCAAAGAAAAGCTCCTATTTTCCTCAACGGAGACGTAGTAATGGTCCGGGCCCTACTTCAATCGTCTTCCTCCCTTTGGGCTAACTGATCCCGTTAACCGGTTGCCTCCATTTGCTAGCCGCCACGTGTCGGCTCAATATGCTTTTACTACTAGAAGGGATCAACGAATGACGACCTCTCATACGTAAGCTGGAGCCAACAGACAAACCCCAAAAAATCGATACTTTCGGTAAATTTCGGTTCATTGAACCTGGACACCCATCCTTCTCTACAAATACGGCCCCAACCCGTCTTCTCACCTCCGTAAGAAGCGGCGAGCCGTTCATTTTCCAGCGGAATTTTATCCATTTTAGGCGAGTTTCGGGGTTCCAGAGTTTTTTCCGGCATGGCTCCTGCAGCAGCTGTGCGATTCTCCGGCAAGGGGGAGGAGGAAGGGCTCAAGAAGACGAATGAGGAGTTGCAGAGAGAATTGTGGGCGAGCCTAGAGAGAGAGGAGAGGATGAGAGAGCAATTGGAGAGGGTAATTCGACAGCTGAGATTGCTCGAGGACGCCGAGGAACGGCTGTGCACGCAGCTCGGGGAGGTCGAGGCCGAGGCCCTGGACCAGGCCCGAACCTACAACATGCAGGTCCAGGCGCTCACACTCCGTCTCTCTCAGGCCGAGGCACTCCTCCAAAAGACACTTTGCAGCCAAGCTCTCTCTCTCTAACACACACTTTCACTCTCTAGCTTTAAGATCTGTTTCTCTGTATGTATTTTTCTTCTCTATCCGTTTAGGTGCTGTGGATTCTTGAATACTTGCTGTGCTGTATATTTTTGCAAGAGTTGTTTGGATTGGCGATGGTGGTGGTTCGATTTTTTGCCAGGGGAATTTTGTTTGGATATGACATGTTGTAAACTGAAAGTTGTGCAGTGTTTTAGATGGGTTTTTGATTGAAAAAGGCTGATTTTTATGTTTTTGCTTCCACATTTTCTCTCTCGATTCATTTTATTCCTTTTTCTCTCTCTTTGTTTCCCATTCCTCAACGATATGCAATCCTTACTGTCATGGTGCAACTTTTATCATCCCAATTTTCAATCAGAAAATTAAGAAACTTCGTCGGAATTTTAAAATCCTTCATCAGATTCATTCCTCTCGAAAAAAATTGGAAGGAAAAATGTTTATGGAGTGTGCCTACCTCATACTATTGATGTAAGGTGCAGCCCTAAATTCGGAAAAGAGGTTGTTCCGATGCTGAAAACCAACAAAATGATCATCCACTCAAGATCTATTGACATGAAAAAAGAAAAAGGAATGGTACTGGAAGGCTATTTAGTTTTTGTACTAGGCCATCATAACTGCTTTTTATAATTAGCGGTAAAATATTAATAGGGTGCAGTTGGCATGCATCTGTAGCTGGAGCGGCAAGGTGCACCTTCCAATTTTATCATGTATATAATTTTGATGTAAAATATTTTTAATATTATCTTTCGAAATCTATTTTTATATCTAATTATAAAATTTTAAATTTTAAAAATAGTTAAAATCAAATAGGTATATAAATATATGAAAATTTTGAAAATAGACGGTGTAGATAATATGTTATATAATACACTATTTTTGAGACTTAGAATCTTTTTATTTTTCATGGTGATACATCTCGATGTTGAGATGATCAATCAAAGTAGATCATCTCGGCCTTGATCATTATTGTTGTAAAAAAAATAATTAAGATTTCAAGCTCTAAAAATAGTATTTATTATAACACATTATTTAAATTTAAACCATTCAGTTTGCCATAAAAATAAGTGTTAATGGATTTATAAGATTTGTATTATTTTGTAGCTTTGAATTTAATAGTCGATGTTAAAAATTGATTTTAAGGCTATCATGGATATTTTGTATCATTTTTTTAGCTTTGAATTTCATAGTTGGTATTTATATGAATTAAAATTTTTTAAAAATAACTATTTCATATAAAAAGTAAATTTTATTGTGCTCTTTTAATAAATTTTATATTATTACATGTACTCCATTAAAATGATACCGGAATATATTGCCTCTAGTAAAAACATAGTGGTTGTTTTGGAAAAAGGAAAAATAACTTTGTGGAGTGTATACTTTTAGCTGGTTGAAAGCTCAAACATGAGTAAAAAATAATGTTTTGTTGTGCTCCTATAGGAGCACGTTGTATTTATGAACCCCTAATGAGCTAGATGTAATCACATTTGCTGATTTAAAAGAAATTGTACATATGTTGACTGTATGAATATTTGAAAATAAAAATATGAAAAATTGGTTAAAAAAATAAAATAGTAATTTTAGTTGAGAAATCATATAAAGGAACCTACAAACCCTAGTACTCTAAATATGACATATCAAAGGTTTTATAAATATACCTTACAAACAAAATTTTTTGTTATAGTATCATATTTGTATTACAATTTTTGAAAATATACCTTAAATAAAAAATAATTTAAATAATTCACAATTATACAATTTTAAAACATTCTATCATTTTCAAATATACTAAAAAAACTTCGTCCAAATTCTAAGGCACTTTTCCTTCCCAGTCGAAACAAAAAGCTCCCCTAAGTAAATATTAAAAATTTGGTATTGAATGTGTGGTTTCGACCAAGTTTTAACCATAGTTAGCAGGTATCTGATTAAATCACGCATTTTTTTAAAACATATCTATTTTTTGAAAGTGTGCAGTTGGCATACGGATGCATCCGTAGCTGTAGAGGTAAGGTGCGCCTTCAAATTTTATCATGGTATATAATTTTGATGTAAAATGTTCTTAGGATTATCTCAAAATCTATTTTTATATCTAAATATAAAATTTCAAATTTCAAAAATATTAAAATCAAGTAGATCTATAAACATATGAAAATCTTGAAAATCGACGGTATAGATAATACGTTGTAAAATGCACTATTTTTTAGACTTAAAATCTCTTTATTTTTCATGGTCATATATCTCGATGTCGAAATGATCAATCAAAGGGTTTTTTAACATTAAAACTACCGTTTGCGATGGATTTTTTAGGTGGATCCGTAGCTCTACATTATAAGGTTACATCCTTATATAAACTTTCTCCTTTTTGAAATCCTTTATATCTAAGTTTTTTATAAGATCTTTAAAAAGTCATTTTTTAGGGAGCTGATATCGAGCCGTATTTTATCTTTTTTAAAAAAATTCAAAAATAGTTATTCTATATAGCTTTATTTTTATTCTTCATTGATTTGATATCTTTGAAAAATTGTTTTTGTGATCTCTACATTAAACTAGGAACTAGTTAAGGAAAAAGTTTATATAAAGATGCAACTTTATAATGTGAAACTACGGATGCACCTCAAAAATCCATCAAAAAAGGTAGTTTTAATGTTGAAAAACCCTTTGATTGATCATTTCGACATCGAGATGTATGACTATGAAAAATAAAAGATTTTAAATCTAAAAAATAGTGTATTTTACAACGCATTATCTATACCGTCGATTTTCAAGATTTTCATATGTTTATAGATCTACTTG